ATCAACCCTTTTTCAGTTTAACCCCATTACCCCTTGTCCTGTCACTAAATGCCTTTGTAAAAAGCCCCCTTCCAGCTTTCTTGCAGGAATAGGCATAGGTGAAGAGGTCTTAGTCTCTGTAGGTACCACTGAAGGGCTTGATGTGGCATAGTCCATGTGGCCTGGAAATGACATTTGAAACAAAATTGCTCAAGGGGGGAGGAAGAACAGGCTGGACGAGGCTTGGAGCAACCTGGTCTAGTGGAAGGTGTCCCTGCCCATGGCAGGGGGGGTGGAACTAGGTGGTCTTTAAGGGCCCTTCCAACCCAAACCAGTCTGTGATTCTAAGAAAAAGAGCCATATGCTTATGTGTGATGTGGGGAAAAGAGCGTTGCAGTGAGAGTGTTAGGGAAAATATCTTCTTTAATAACAATAGGTATGTCTGAACAGCTCCTCCTTCTGTCTCTCAGTACCACTCAGGTTGTTTAGTTGTCTGAAAGATGAATTAATTACAGTATGGGAGTACTTCCGTTTCATTCTGCCAAGTCTAGATGGTGGATTGATTAAGGCAGGCCAACTTCCTCAGTGTTAAATTAAGAACTAATGCACCACTAGTGCACCTTTCACTGCCTTTGACTCCACGGTGGGTCCATGACCCGGCCAGATCATCCATGGGCTGTCTGTAACACAAGTGAGGAGCTTGGCTGAATTTCAAGCCTCTGGAGCAAGTGTAAAGTGCCTTCCCTTAAAGAAAATAACTACATTCTCATTCATTCCTTCCAAAGGAGGAAATACCAGGCAGCAGCAGGCTATTTCAAATAGCACAAAAACAGCTGAAGGGAAGGGTGAAGTAATTAAATATCAAGTGACTAGAACTTGAAGGAAAACAAATTCAGTTAGGCTTAAGACACACTTTCTAAATAATGACCACAAGTGATGATGAAAGCAAATCATTGAGGCAATAGCCACATTCTCTGTTTTGTCCTGTTGTCAAATTAGAACCCCCTGGAAGTCTTGGATACGTCAGAAAAATATATTAGGCTCTGTATAATCACTGTCTGAAGAAAATAACCTGTGGGCAAGGTGATCCAGTGTGCTTCTATACCTGGAAAAATAAGTTTTCTAAGCAGATCCCTTGCATGACTCCAGGACACCAAATTTAGTGTTCAGATACCAATATTCTAGCAGAGAATTGCTCAGCTCACTGTTTGGTTAGCAATAAATTGCTCAGCTCTTGAAGTTGCCAACAGAAATGTGTAAGCCACTTCAGATCTCTAGGGTCGTAGTCAATGCTACTGTCCTTTGAATTTAGGAGGACAAGATTTCTCCCCTGGAGAAAGATCTTGGAATCCTTTTCTGTGGAGCATCTATGGATGTAATGCTGGCTGATAAGTTCTGGTTTAGGAACAACACGCCAGTTATCTATTTGTTGTCAGGAGAAATTGATGTCAAATAATGATTTCTGATTTTCTTGTTTTGTTTTGAAGAATATTATAAAAATGCTTGGAAAGCAGTGAAGGAAGAAAATGACAGACTGGTTGAGATGCACATGAAGTTGAGTAAGGAACAGGCCTATGAGGTATTCCTTCTTCCTTTTTTAAAAGTGTTAACTGCATCATAGCTAGGATTCATGTACTCTGCATGAATAATTATTTTACCTTGAATTAAGACTTCGAACTTTTCTAATAACTTGAGAGTAAAATAAACAGTAAATATTCCTACTAGATGTGGCATTGGCTGTTGTTGTACACACATGTACTTTTTTCACATCAGACTAACAGTGAGTAGACGTGAGGGCATTTCACAAACGAGGTATGGAAACTGGGGGCACCATGCACCGACATGACTTGTTCAAGGACATCTCATTTTTGCTGTCACCTTGGTTTCGATGTTTGCACAGACTTCAAAAAACAGTAACAAATTAAACGATTGCTTGCATGGAAATATACATCAATTTTAGGAAAAAAACACAGTTGTTTTGTACTTGTAAAGTACAGCATTTTCAAAATGCCAAAATAGTGCAGTCTTCAGTAAAATTTAGGCTTATTGAGTTTTTTGTCATCTCTGCCAGCTCTGATTTGCAAACATGATTTATGGAGTGTTTATGGTGATGACTTCTTACACTCACAAAATGCGAAGCACCGTTCGGTACAAACCACCGGTTGGGTCCATTCGGTATTTAAATTCCCTGCCTTCAGCACTGGAATTTTCAGTCATGTGAGAACATAAGCAAAGGATTGTGTTTATGGGGGTCTACAGGGGCATGTTCCCTTCCAATTGTTCCTTTCAACGTACTGACATCAGTAATTAAATGGTAGCCTTGGATCGTTAGCATAGACCTCTACATGTTTAAGTAACATGCCATAGTACTGCCTCATTTTTTAAAATTTTGTTTGGTTCTTTAACAGATAAAGGTTTGATTTCCTGAAAACATGAAGATTTCAGCAGTAGTGGGAACATAGCAGAACTTGTTAGGCTAAAAGGAAATGGCCTGTCTTAATATGGGAAATTATAAATATTGGTAAATTGCTTGACACATAAACTGCACCAGGCAGGATGATGAAGAAACAACAGCTGGCCTTGTGGTCTAAATCCTCTTGTAATCCCCCAGGAGTCTGTTGTGTGGATGTGTCTTAATTATTTCCTGCTAAACAGCAGAAGGTTCTTCTTTATAGCATGCAGCACTGTCAAAGTCCTGCTTCCGGATGAGATGATCTTAAATTGTGTTTTTGCAGAGTGCTGTAAGATACTTGGACAAAAAGAGTCAGAGAGTAATCGAAGAGAATGAATGGCTAAAAAAAGAGGTAAGAGGATCACTTGCATACAGTGATACTACTGCACATACTACCTGCATGGTTAGGTTTGGAATACCATGGCCTACAGCCATAGCTTTTTCCAGCAATGGGCCTCTGAAGACTTTCATAGGAAAAGGAGAGCAAAATTCCTGTTAATTAATCTGTAATCCTGTGTAGAAAACAGCGTATGTGCTGAAAAAAAGGTAAAAGGTGAACATCTCCTTTCACAAATGAAGGATCCCTTTTCCTGCCCAGGCAGTTACATGAAGGATTACAACATTCCGTGCAATTAAGTACTTGTAGCTGTAGAGACTGGGATCCTACATCGTGTAAAGGCTCAAGCGTCAGTTGAAGTATCAGAAGAGTGTGGTTTGAATTGCATTAAAGTTCCAGTGCTGCCATGTTGAAAGAACATGGATATGAATGTTGGAAACATTTTTTGAGAAAGGGCTTGAAACAGTTTAAATGGGAGACACTAAAGAAACCCCACTGAAGAGGGAAGTGTCAAAATCATATATAGTTGTAATTTATTACTTAATAGCTTCTATACTGTCTTTTAATGGCAATTTAGAGCTATTTATTAGATAGCTGTAACTTTGCTTGTCAAAAAAACCCTGTTTGTGAGCCAGATTTAGGAAACTGGTTTTTCCATGTGGAAAGTTTAATTATGGTTGTTTCAACCACTACAGGTTCTCAGTTGTGATCAAATCTAAGCAAGAGATTGGAGGGAGGAAATACTCTCCCCCAACTTTACAACCTCACAGTTGAAAGCTGAGCAAAACTTTTGGGGAGATTAATAAGCGAACTGATTATTTTTCAGTGCCACATCAACAAACCTGGCAGAGGTTTCTCCAGTTTACTTGCTGGTTTGCACTATTTGCCAGTATGCAGGGAGACAGCTTTCCTTCTTCCTCTTAGTGAGTTCTGAGCCTACATCTTTAACTTTCTGGGGAGGGTGTCCAAACCACAGCTTCTGAGGCAATGAGGTAAGGGTCAGTAGGAAAGAATTAATGTTTCAATCTGTATAAACAAGCAGGAGCTGGAATCTATACATTCTGGCGCTGAATGAGTATGAATTCCGTTCCCATCCCTGTCTCACTGAACACTTAACGAATTTTACACACGTTAGGTAGTGTCAACAAGGGAGATCTGCTTTGGAGTACTCATGTCCTGACAGGCCCTCACCTCTGAATTGAGGGATTTGGGTTTCTTTCCTCTCAACTAGAACTTTCCTACATTATGAATTAGTTTCCTATGTTACTGGTTTCCTATGTTATGAATTACTTCTTTGAATTATTGTGGAAAACAAAACTATTATCACTAAGTTCTCCACTCCTCTGAATTCACCCATTCATTTTCTCTGCTTTTTCTTACACAGATGAAATACTTTCCTTCAGGCTAATGTTTACACACAGCTGACAGCTCTTCCAGTATTTTCTTTAGGGAAAATAAACCAAAAATTTCAGGTCTATCCCAGTTCAAAATTCATCATGTTTTCAGTTTGGCCACCGAACTGAAAAATGACTTACTAAAACAAGCCCTAAACTAGTTACCTCCAAATCTGGACAGATTTGGAGACTTCAGTCTCATTTTTCCATGGTTACTGTGTCACACCAAGATGGTGCAAAGCTGCATCACCTCATCAAGCCAAGCTGCATCCTGCTACTGATTAATGTCCCATCATTTCCACCTTTTTTAATCCCTGGGAGAAATGGCAACTGGTTTTTAACTGCAACTTTGGATGATTATAGGCACGTTGATTTGGCTTTGGTGAGAACAGATGTGTTCAGATCACTAGTGCATTTTACACACGTGCATGTGGCTAAGATTTCTGGGCTGATATCTGGCCCATAGTACATTCCACTTCCAGTGAAAGGGTAAGAACTTGCTTGTACTCCAAGAAAAGGGAGAGGAGTTGTGGGAACCAAATCACTGGCGTCCTGTGGTTAATATAACTTCATGGGAATATGGGACGATTACCAGTTCAAAAGAAAGTAGAACCTGGGGCTTAGCCAACGTCATGGCTAGCTTGGACTGAAGGCTTCGCTAATTCTGCTTAAGGAGGGTTTGTGTATAGGCAGGAATAGAAAAGCAACACTGGCTCTGATGGGAAAGCAAAAAGGGAAAATCTAGAACTTCTGTCTCCCAGCCGTGTTCAGCAACACGAGAAGGTTCTGCTATTGGGGAGGCAGCCCAGATGTGTGGCTGTGATTGACAGTTGTGCCAGTAACGGCTTCTAAAAAAGGGGTGGAAGAACCCGAGAGGCCTTCCCTTTGTCTGAGAGCGTGTCACTACGTTTCTCCACCCAATGCGCAGGCGTGCTGACACAGCCGTGTTCTTTCTAGGCGTGTGCTATTGAGGTAGTTACACTGAAGGCTTTCTGAAATGGGTATAGTCTTTCTAGGATGATCCTTTTTTTTTTTTAATTGTCAAAAGGTTAAGATGTACCAGAAGGAAGTGGGTGATTTAGAAGCCTCTATTCAGCTCCTGGAAGAAGAAAATGTTGCTTTAGTGGCAAAACTGATTGATGGCAGACTGCAGAAACTGCAAGTGCCCAGGTAAAATGATGCCTTTACAAACTCAGAAGTGATTTAGGGTTTTTTAATAAAGATAATGTCTTCTCCTGCCTCTAGAGCTATTTGGGCTCTCCCACAATAAAACCAAAGTAGTTTCCTAGTTGAGGGGAGGCAGGATTTGACTGAGTATGTGTGGGACCTGTGTATTTGAAGGATGACAGTGACACTGTAACCTCCTAAATATCAAAATTCAGGGAAGAAACTGGGTTCTCTAATAATCTCTTAAAACCTACTGACATTCGCTTTCCCTTAGTGAGGATACCACTGGGACCTGGAAATAGTTTCTTTCTGGTGTAATTGTCTCAGCTTCTCAGACCAAGTGCTGAGTAATAGATTTTGCTTTTACTGTTGGCAAAATGTTTCAGGATATGAAGATTAATATGCAAATATATGAGGTTTTGCAATCTCAAGTGAAACAGATGACCTGGTCCTGAGTAAGGAAGAGGCCTTGGGATAAGGCTGTCTGTAGTATTAGTTTCTTTTATATTGAAATTATTTAATTTGTTCCCTAGAGAAAGATTAATTTTTCTGCAAAGTGTCAACACTAATGGTATCAAAAGCACAATGTAACAATGGGAATGATCCATCTTCATTTTCCAGGCCCAGCTCAGTGATTTCAACCATATTGCATAAAAAAGTTCCAAGTCTTAAGAAGTGACCATTTTTCTCTCCTCTTCAAATTCTGGACTGCTTTTAAGTGAGCACTGCCAGCTGTGGTTTGAATCTTGGCCTGACTGGAGACTACATTTGTTTTCTTTTAGTCTCATGGACATCGTTGAACTTAAGCACTAAGAATAAAAAGAGCAGCTTATTAGCCACTAAGCTACCTGGCTGCCTCCATCGTGATTTTGAACAGTTGTGCTATTCTGAGTTTGCGGATAAGCAACAAATGGCTTTCGGAAAGGGTGCCCTCCCACCCACCCCAGAAGATTGCACAGGAAAATTTAGAGCAAAAATTAATACCTATAATATGAGTTTCACTTTTTTTTTTTTTAATTTCATAGGCATTTGTTTCCTACCCAGGCAGCTGGCTTGCAAGATGGATTTCCTGAGGATGAAATGAAAGAAGGAGAGTATAGAGAGTCTGCAGGTAATGGAGATGCCAGCAGCTTAGAAGAGCTGCTATGTTACTGAACTTTTACATACTTTTTATTTATTCAGTTTTTTATCAAACTGCCTGTTTTATATGGTGAGAACCTAATTTCCCATTGAATTGCAGCCACGGCGGCAATAATAGACTGTAGTTTGTGTTAAGGCAGAACCACAGTGTACCTGTAATAAAGTTTTACAATTGAAATTGATGGTTAGATTGGGGGATGTAATTACTGAGAGCTAGCCTGGAATGTGCTTAATGGGATTGGCCATCTTTTGTGAAGATATCATTCGTATCTTAATCAGTTCTTTACTGATCCATATCATCACAACTTCATCTTGTCCCTGAGAGGGCACGCTTTAACTCTACACTGGCTTTCACTTGCTGTCCACATGCACTTTGCAGTCATCCACCTCATAGAGATACACTAAAGTTAACTAAGTAAATCCCTAGCAAGAGGAGGTGGAGCTGCATGGAGCTCAGCCTGCACTGAAAGTCTTGCTAAGCAGTACTGAAGTTTGGGCTGAGTTTCTATCTTTTCTGGTAGCTGTGCCCAGGAAAAAGATATCCGATTGGGCAAGCAGGACTGTATGAGTGTGCTTATCCATTCAGGGTGGTTTGTATGGATTCTGTAGTATTGCGTGTTTTATTCATTCACTTTGTGTGAGTACAAGGAAGAGGGGAAAAGGAAGACAAAATTAAATTGAAGGGGTAAGTTCCAAAAATTGAAGCCACACAGTTCCAAATAGGTGACCAAGTTCGGGTCAGTTCCAGCCACAGGTGAGCCTTTCTGGAACCATCCAGCACCAGCACACGTTGACTAAGGCTTGTGAATTAGATGTATGTCGACTTGGAACAGTTCAGCTCTACTACCTCTGTTAGACTTTGCAGCGGTTACTGGGAGGGGTAGGTTTTGTTCTGGTAAGCTGGGGTGAAGTCACTGTCCCAGGCAAACATATCACTTGGATATCCCTGGCCAGAATTGTCTCTCATCCTGAGAATTAGAGCTCTTCAGGGGAGTTATAAGTGGACTAGCTGTGTTTCAGGCACTTGGATATATGCACATATAGAGATAGATACATTGATATAGAAAAGGTTTTTACTTGGTTTTGCTACCTTTAATATTTTTTTAACTATTCAAGGCTATATGGGATTTAAGTTGAACTGATAAAAGCTAATTTTTCCCCTGCCCCGACCCACAGACCCATTACTTCTAATTTCCAATCAATGTCAGTCTCTGATCTTGATCGGAGTTGATCAGACTTGCTAATTCTGATCTTCATAAAGCTTACACATCATTGTTCATCTCTGTAAACAGTGCAAGCAGGGGGAGATGAAAGCCTCACAAGTGCCACAGTCCCCTGTCAGAAAAATAAGGCCTTTGCAAAGATTCAGTCTGAAACAGAGAATGAGAAGCCTCCAGACAGTGATGAGGAGCTGCGGGAAATGTCTTTCACGCCAACTCTTGGTAGCTTGTTGCATGAAGATCAAAAAGATTTCCAGGTATGAGTTAAAGTAACCGAGTGACACAAACATATTTCAGTGTGGAGTGTGAGCTGCTGCCAGGGGCGTTCTATTCCCGGTGGGGTTACAGCAGAAAACACTCCCATGTCTGATATCTAGTGTACAATGCAGATGATTAACCGTAGGCATCTGGTGCTGTTTGAGATGGTGAGGATGCTGCCTGCCTGACAGATGCTGGGCCAAAAGAGCATAGGTTCTGTCATACAGGTGGGCCTCACATGGATGTTTTGGGTGCTTTAGGGCATTTCTGGTAGCAGGAGAGATCTTGTTTTGTTAAGCAAATGGTGTCATCAGCATATGTGAGTGCCAAACTCCCCCTAGAAGAAATTCTGAATGTCACAAAGTGACAGTTTTCTGTGGTATCGCACAGGTTCTTGTTTGCTTAGCCGATGGTCCTTTTAGAACTTACGTTGCATAGTATCATTAAAGGATCAAGCCATTCAATCCTTCAGTGGTCAGCCAGGATAAATGTGTTCCTGAGTGCAAAGTACAGGGGTTGAGGGAATAAAAAGGTTCAGCTTATATGTCAATATGTACAGAATTTGTGTGGTTCTCAAAACAGGTGGTGGCACCTGCCACAGGAGCTCCTCAATCCCAGGCTGCAAAGGGATGTTTCCTGGGTGCCTTTGATACTCTGCTCTTGAGTTACAAAAACTTGAATACATTTCTAAATAATCTAATTACTCTCAGAAAATATATCACTCTACATCATTGATTTCTACTGCAAATGAAAGATGGTGACAGAGACAGGGTGCAGACTGCAAAACTTGCTGTGCAAAGACACTTTGCCGTAACAGCCACGAAGATGCTCAGAGGGCTGGAGCACCTCTGCTGTGGGGACAGGCTGAGAGAGTTGGGCTTGTTCAGCCTGGAGAAGAGAAGGCTCTGGGGAGACCTTATAGCACCTTCCAGTACCTGAAGGGGCTACAGGGAAGCTGGGAGGGGATTTTTTCCAAGGGCCTGTAGTGACAGGACAAGGGGTAACGGGTTTAAATTGAAAGTGGGGAGGTTTAGATTAGCTATCAGAAAAAAGCAGTTCCTGGAGAGGGTGGTGAGGCACTGGAACAGGTTGCCCAGAGAAGCTGTGGATGCCCCATCCCTGGAAGTGTCCAAGGCCAGGCTGGACGAGGCTTGGAGCAACCTGGTTTAGTGGAAGGTGTCACTGCCCATGGCAGGGGGGGTTGGAACTAGATGGTCTTTAAGGTCCCTTCCAACCCAAACCGTTCTGTGGTTCTATGATGTTTCTTTATTCTTGAATATTCTTTTCAAACTTACTCAATACTGAGTTTAAAAAACCCAAACAAATAAACCCCCAACAACTCTTTTTTTTCTAGAAATCTGGCATTAGCTTGATCAATATCCTGCATTCTGTGCTCAGAGAAATCATCCTGCTGCCCTGATCAGAGACTAACTTAAGGAGAGGCTCTCTCCCGAAGAGTCACTACAGAGAAAAGATGAACATTCAACAACAAATATCAGTCCAGGCAGTTTTTTTTCCTTGCAGTTGTTGCCCTCGGAGAGGAACACCAGCTTTGCTTCTTCCTTGCTGCTGCTAGCACTGTGGAGCCCACCCCACTAAGGGACAGGGGTGCTGCTGACATTCTCGTGCTTCCTAACAAGGAAGGTGCAGCTGCAAACTGCCGAGTTGTTATGAAAGCATTTACGAAGAAGAGGTGATTCAACAGCTTGCACTGTAGGGTTCCTTCTTCCCTCTCCCTGGCCTCGGCTGTATGGTCCTGCTCCTGCCCTTAGGGAACCCGTAGTGCCCGTCGGCCTGTTCTGTAGCTGAGTCGCTCACTAACCCAGCAGAAAAACTTGCCCTTTTATTCTCCTCCTGAATCAGTTTTCTGTTGGGTTAGTCAGCCGAATTGACTCAGAGGTTTGGAGAAGACCAGAGCCAGCACCAACGTGGTGGGAGCACATGGCTGGACTTGGACCTCTCCCTTGGCAGCAGTGAGCTGTTGGATTAGTTTCCTTCTTCTCACAGAACTGAACTTGGGAGCAGAATCTGCTTTGCAGAGAAAGTGTTACTGCTGAAAACACACAGGAAAAGATGAGGGCAGCAGGGCTGCAGCCTCCTGAGACGAGCTGGCCTGTACATCAAGCCCGTTGACATTGCCAAGCACAGCAACACCAGGGCAGCATCTGTACAGTTACTTTTAAAAGGAAAGTTGCTGGGTTTTTGTTTGTTTGTTTGGGTTTTGCTTTGCCTTTTTTTTTTTTTAACAGCTGCTTTTTGATGTAATTGCAGAAGAATAATTTTCTTTCTTCTTCAGGAATACTTAAAAGAGGGTCCTCTGGAGACACAGCTGATGTGTGTGGTTGGAAGAGCCATGCCTATTCATAAAGAACCAGAAGAAATGCCAAGCAGGAGCCACAAAGAAGATGGCACTATTGGTAAATCAGACGGGCACATCACAGCTCAGATGATCAGGGCCTTATCTCAAGAAAAGGTTGGTTAAAAACAGACAATCTGTGCTCGTTGTTAATGTAACATTCTCAGTTGATTAAATATTTGCTCTGTTCTTCAAGGAGCACGTGGAACTGGACTTGTGAAAACTGTTTTCGAGCGCCCAAATTGTCATTTACACATGTAAGTTATAATGAGAGGTATGTCTGTGTGGAGCTGGCTAACTGCAAGGCTGCTTTCCTTACCACCCTGAGAACTCTTGGGCGCTTTCTGGGCTTCTCAATCCAAGAAGCTGCACATGTGTCTAATAAAGCATCAGAGTTAATACTTAGTTTTTGTGGTCCCCACTTGCAGTCTGTCAGATGTGCAATTCCCTCTTGATCAGACACCGAATGGGTAAATCATAGAATCATCAAATCTTTTAGATTGGGAAAGACCTGTAAAATCAAGTCCCACCGTTAAACCCACACTGCTCATACCAGCACTAAACCCTGTCCCTGAGCGCCTCGTCCACACGGCTCTTACATCCCTCCAGGGATGCAGACTGCCATAAAACATGGACCTGTTACAAAATACTTAACTCTATGCTAAAGCAGGACCTGATTTATCCAAGTATAGTTAAACTATGGCTAGAGACTGAATGTTTGAATATACTTTGTTTCCATAACCCCCCACTTCCATATACTGAAATCACCAAAAAAGAATTTAAAACCCCCAACGAAAGCAGAGCATAAAAATCATCCAAGTCTTAAATATTTATTTTTTTAAAGAATTGGCCAAAGCTGTGGTGTAACGCTCTACCCTTGGTTTGTGGCCGCTCTCTATGACCACACACCTTTGTGCACTGGTTCAGGGGCTTTTCCCCTCTCGCTGCCCACCCTGGACACCCAGCCGGGAGCACACAATGCACTTACATCCCACAGGCACGGGTAGGCTTCTGACCTAGGCATTTCCTACTTAGAAACTGGCAAAAGCATCGAATAATCGGAGTTTAAGCCCTTTGACAGGTTAATCAGCTGTTTGGAATAAAGCTTTTTAAAAAGCTTAAAGGTTTGAAACAACCTCTGTCTGCGCAGTGTCTCATCCTCTGCCGCAGTGCTAACGTTTTTCATTTTCCTGCCCAGCACACGTCTCCCGGAGCTGTGAGTGAGTCGAACTGTTGTCTGGGCTCCCCTGACCACAGCTCCGCAGACACCGCGCTCAGCAGCCGACACCCAGGGGCAGGAGCCGTATCTCGGGCTGAATCTCACTTGCCTGTCCACGTACTCATCCGTTAAATGAGTTTGGACACGTCCCTGCTGTGACCCACCTGAGTTACTGCAAACACTGAGGGGGCTCCTAGAGTTCCAGAGAATGGGGAGCGGTATTGTGAGGGGTGATGGCTCAAGCACAGGGACAGGCTGG